TTGTCATACAATTGAACTGGCTGCTTCCAGATTTCAGTTTCACAATAAACACAGAGATGAGATACTGTTGAGAAGAGTCATGTCGATTTATCCATGTCAACAGAGTATTGTTGTGAGCCTATTACAAAAGACTGTAGTATAAAGGAAGAAAAAGAACATGTGCCATTCTGAAATCTATGAAGCAGTGAAAAAATGTCTTTCAGAATTTTCTTTGTCCAAGAAAGTGAGAGTGGATACTGACTGATATCACAATAGTGAGCTAAACATCTAACCCATTTTATGAATGTATGAACCTTCAGAATATAATAAACTTAGGGCCTGAGGCACCCAATTTAAAACTTCAAAAGAAGTCATGTCAACTTATCAATTCACAACATTCTTTGCTGCACAAATTGAGCAGGCTGAATAAGATTAACAATTGAGCCATTATTAATCATTTTTCATGCCAGTTTGCAAGCTCACTGATCAAATTACATTATGTATTCATGCCAGGGTCAAAACTTTTCACATTTTTCTAATATTAAATTATCTATTTACAAGGGATTTAGAAAATTATTACTCTGTGTACTTGTGGTGAATTAACTAAATTAACTTTGTCTCATCTCTGTAAACAGAGATGATGTGGCAAGATTCATGACAATGAACATAACTCCTGTGAGAAGATGAAGAGAAAATGAGTGTGAATAGATCATATATAGAATCAGGGTTACCAAGAAATGTTGCTTGGGTTCTAAGTGTGTTCTGATAGATATCATATCACCCTTATATGTTGTAACAACTACTGCCAGCATTACTGGAAATAAAACAATTTTACTTAGAAAAGTAATGACTTATGGATCAAAATAATTGTGCTCTATAGCATTTAAAGGTGAGTATCAAGACTGAGTAAGGAGCTGGGAATGTAGCCCAATGGTAGAGTACTTGCTTAGCATGCATAAGGCCCTGAGTTCAACCCTCAGGATAAAAAAAAAAAAAAATTTTAGGAAGGAATACCTAAATGACAAGTTGACATAAGAATGTCAGTATAATCTTTAGTGGGCTTCATAATCTATCTTTTGCTACAAAATAAATCCTGATCTTCCAAAAAGTAAGAATCTGAGCAATTTGGAATAGACCTCATAATGAGTACTGTATTTGGTTGTGTTGTATAATTTTGACTCTAGCAACTGTCTTGGCTAATATTTTTGCTGTGAATTTGATTAAAATATCTTTCTAAACAGAATCTGCAGATATCAATTCCCTCTCTGGGATTCTTTTGCAGTGTATATTGTAAGCATTATTTAAAATGAGTAAATGCTTTTTTTAAAATTCTTTTATTCACATGTGCAAACATTGTTTGGGTCATTTCTCTCCCCTTCCCCCCTCCCCACTCTCTCTCCCCTTCCCCGCTCAGTTCCAGGCAGGTCCTGTTCTGCCTTTATCACTAGTTTTGTTGAAGAAAAGAGACAAGCCTAATAAGGAAGACAAAGCGTTTTTGCTAGTTGAGTTGAAGATAGCTATACAGAAATATGCTTTTTGATATGAAATCAAATACAGACTCTTCTCAAAAGATTACCTAACAGAATTTCTTTGACTCTCTAAAGCCAGTTGGAAAACAAGTGCATACATTTAAGTGTACAATTTAATATGTTTTGACACAAAGATACACTCTGAAAAACAATCAAGAAAATGAACATATCCATCCTTACCCGAAAGTTTTCTTGTCCTCTGCCTTGCCACACTCTCAGACATTCCTTCCTAGGCAACCATTAGCTTACTGTCACTAGACTGTATGTTCTCCATTCATAGACTGTTATATAAATGGAATCAGATATTATGTACCCACTTTTTGTTTTTTTACTCAGCACAGTTATGTGAGATTCATCAATGTAGCATGAATCAGTTTATTCATTTTATTGCTGAGTAGTATTCCATTATGTGGATATTCTAGTTTATCCATTCAATTTTGATGGACATTTAGGCTGTTTCCACCTTTGGGCTATTAAAAATTATGTTGCTATGAAGATTTGTGCATAAGTCTTTGTTTTGGAAAATGTTCTTATTTCTTTAGGGCACACGGAGTGGAATGACTAAATGATAAGTGTATTTTAGTTTTAAGAAACTACTAAACTGTTATTCAAATACAGTGTTGATTGTATCTCAATAAGTTTAATTTGTGTCTTTCTAATCTCTTTGTGTCTCCTAACTTTTTGAACACATGGAATGCAGATTTATCTTTTATTTATTTATTTATTTTTTTATTCATATGTGCAGATTTATCTTTTCAAATGCCTTTGTCTACTAATCCTAACATCCATGCCAGTTTGGGGTCAGTTTTATTGATTTCCATTTTTCTGCTTTGAAAATATAAGTTTGGAAAATTATGAATTTTACATTTTGTATGGTGAATCTTTGTTGTACCTTTTTGGTCTTGCTTTAAGACTCACTCTAGGGCTATTGTTCCCCGATATTGGGAAAAGGACAGATGTATTTTCTACCCAAGGTCTTGTCTATGTTGAGGTTTTCCATTCTAACAGGCAGTAGTAAAATTGGGCTGCTGGTCTTTTGAGTGCTTTTTGCATGCCTTTCTTTTATCCTTGGATAATTTTCTCCCACACATTTGCTGGTCAATACTCAGTTGAATACTCAAGAAGGGAGAAGAGTGATTTTTTCTTAGCTATCTATACCCTTTTAGTTATGCTTAAAATAGCATCTATATATCTTATAACTACAAAATATCCAGACTAATATCTAAACTATTTTAGCAGTACTCATGCCATTAAAAACCTAAGAGACTTTGGGCAAATCACTTAACTGTGTTGGCTTTTGCTTTTTCAATCAATCAAATGAGTACCTGGAATACAACCAGAGGGGTTTGAGTTTTATTTGCTTTATTATTTTAGCAGCTTTCCTCTCATCCATTTTAAAATAAAAACTTAGGGAGAAGCTCAATATCAAAAAGCATGCGATATTATTCACAGGTAATTATTAAAGTAGAAATTTAATATCTGTTATAAATCAACCAATGAGAACAAATGTGACAGTTGCAGTTTTATGAGGCCCGGCATCCAATTTATTTCTGTTTTATTTTCATTGAAGCCAGATGATCCTATGAGCAGAATTCCTCATAGGCAGAAACCTATGCTCCTGGAGATATTTTGATAAACTTGCTTTCCAAAAGGAGCCAAGTCTCCAGGCTTGCGTCTTTGTTGGGTGTTGTCTATGCCTCAAGAACAGGCTGGAACTTGAGCCAGGAAAATTTTGCTCTTTGCTGCTCAGAGGGAACACATAGGTCTTTCATGATCTGAAGGGAGAAGAGGAGATTCTTCAGTGGTTCCACGTCATGTTAATTTAGGAGAGAATCCAACCAACTTTCTTTTTTTTGGAAGAGATTGTGGTTTGGACTGAGGGCCTCAAGTTTGCCAGGCAGGTGCTCTCTCACTTGAGCCACACCCCCAGTCTGTTTTTGCTTTACGTGTGTTAATGTGCTAATAATATTATTAGCAAGGAAATGGAGAAATGCTATAATGGCTATTTAGTTACTTAAACACATTTAGCTAATCTGCTTTATTAGAGAACAATGGTGATATTTTGTTTCAGTCGATATACTTGAACTGGCTTTCTGCCCCAAATAACCAATGACTTTTAGCCTGGTAAACTCTGGAATTCATTACTCATGATTACCTCAGAAGAGTCCACATTTTATGACTGAGCCTTCTTTAGTGGATAGACTACGTGATCACCAATGCTCTTGAAAGTAGGTTCTTCAGAATTAGTGCTTTTCTGTTCAATGCATAGTTATATTTAACACAGTAATAAAGCAGTAGTCCACTTTTAGTTTCAAAAATATTACTTCATTTTACTAAGGAAAAAATTAAAAGTCCTAAGTCAAGAAGCATCCAACAAATACCTCGTATACTAAGTGTTAGAAAACTATAACAAATATCTCAGAAGAGTGAGTTGTGTGCTTATGTTTTATGCTGACTGTTTTTCCATGAGTTGAAGACATGAAGAATAATTTTACTTGAGCCCACCTGCCTTTCAACTAAACTCTTTGAAAGTTCTGGTGTTTGATTTTGTTTTATTCAGAGCACAAGCACAGGCTTGAAATAAAAAGAAAGACCTGTTGTAGATCGGCAACTATTTCAACTAATGCTATACTTATAAGACTTTCACAGCTAGGTAGAGAAATAGCAAATTATTTATTACAAGTTTTGTGTCAAAGTAAGTAACCTGATAGATACCACAAGTTAATGGATGATGGCTATCGGTATTAAAGTTTTCTGGCATATTAACTCAAAGGACTTTTTATTATAGTTCAAAAATATAATTTTTTAAAAAAAGGAGTTAAAATAAAATATTAATAGAAACCCTTAAGCACTTTTGCAGAACCCTTGGAATTTGAAGAATGAAAATTTAAATCTATAGAAAGTTCTTTAGAACCTTTTCTAAATCTCTGGGATTTTTTGGGAGTGAGTGGAAGAGAAGGTGCTTTGCTTAAAAATATAGGTACTATTTCTGTAAGATATGAAAGCAAATGTGGGAAAATTATGGTAGTTCTAATCATAATTTGCATCAGTAAGTTTAAAAATTATAAATCAATTTTTGCTGGATCTAAAAATACTTTTATACATCTTATTTTCCCAAGAATAATGTTAAGATTTTCAATCTAGGTCTTCATTATTGTGTCCTTAATAGTTTAATCTTTAAAAAGCCATTTCTAAAGCATCATTCTTCTTAGAAACCATCCACGCTGTAGTCAAATTTAGTAACCAGTGATTTCATACCTTTGACACAAGGAAGATGTTTGCTGCCATGTGAAATTGTGCTGTGGGGCAAATTTATTTGAGGATGAATTATATTTTTCTATAATGTTGGTATCTAAATGTCCCATGGTTAGTGGAAACTTCCAGATACTAAACAGTTCCTCATTAAACTTATATAGTAGAAAGTGGAGAACTGAGGAGAGAATATGAGTAAATTCAGGTCTAAACGTTCCTTTAATGATGTTTTTTAAACAGAAAGTATTTGACATCTTTCCAAGGGTCCACCTTACCTAGTGCATTTATGGAACAGGACACGTTTTTCATGTCCTCTGGAGGCAGCCTATGCTACAGCTTGTTCCTCTGCTGCTCCCTACCTGGAGGCTTTCCTGCCACTACTCCCTGGAACCTGGGGTGAGTGCTTCACAAATCACACGATGCCATTTTGACATTTTGGACTCAATGAAGAAGGATTAAGGCCCCAGTTTGTTTCATTGTACCATTACTTAATTCACCTTAAAAGCATTAATCCAACATTGCATCAAGAGTTTTTATTTTTGAAGGATTAGAGTAATGGAAAGTATATGGATCACAAACATCTTAATCACTACAAATGAAAAACTGGAGCTACCAAAAACTATCAAGTTATATACACATTAGTCTACCAAGTACATGTTGAAGAGTTTATTCTAGAAATAAGGGCATATATGTTAACCTGTAGAAAATTACTCGTTGTATATAACTGAGCTTGAGACACATTTCTATCTATTAAAAACATGTTAAATAAATTGTGTTACATCGATAAAGTAGAATAATATGCAGCTGTTAAAGACAGGGACTTTATTACCTACCCACATGGAAAATTTCACAAAGCATATCTGAAATGAAAACAACCAAGAATCAATATAATTTTAATGATATGCTACGTTTTGTGTAAAAAGGAAAATGTCTATAATCATGTTTGCTTAAGTATCTCTAGAAGAAATCCTAAAAATCTAGAATATGGGTTATTAATTGGGAAATATAGCATCTGTCAACTGAGCAGGTGAGAGGTCAGTTACATGTAGTTCTTTTAGATTTTTCTGTTTCTTTTCAAATATATAACTGGATTACTTACTTAAAATAAAAAATGTGTGATAAATATCAGTATTAAAAATTCACTTCTTACTTCTACCACTCTTTCTCCCTTTTCCCCTTTATCCCTCCTTTACTGATACTCAAATAACTTCTATTTTCCCTAACATATCCTTTTAGACTGTTTTACAAGTCCTTTGCCCTTTCTTTTTAAGATAACTTACATAAATCTAAAATTTCATCTTTGTTATTTCACAACCATTTGGTCTTCTTTTTCCTCATTCTCATATATCCATAATATTCCAATAGGCACATCCTTTCTGAGCCAAAGATTCATGGAAGTGTTTAGCAAATAATACCATCAGTTCTGCAGGTAAAAAGTTTCACTGACCTGCCCTTCAGAAACAGGGAATTCAGTTGGGTACCGGTGTCTCATGCCTGTAATCCTAGCTACTCAGAAGGCAGAAATCAGGAGGATCACAGTTTGAGGCCAGCCTGGACAAATAGTTCATGAGACCCTATTTCAAAAGAATCCATCATAAAATAGGGCTGGTGGGGTGGCTCAAGGTGTAGGCCTGGAGCCCCAATTCCACAAAAAAAAAAAAAAAAAAAAGAAGCAGGAGTTCAAATTTTACTGTACTCCTATACTCATATTATCTTTCTTCTAGTTTTCAGAAATTAAAGTTGATTCAAATAAATATGAAAAAGTTACATTTCTTTAGATTGTGAGAGGTCTAATATTGCTTTTGTTAATCCCTTCAGTAAACATACTTTAGTCTCCAAGTCTATATGGGGCACCAGTAAATTCCTTTTTCCTATTGACTTTCTATTTTTTGTTTTTGTTGTACTGGGTGGGAGTACACTGCAGCATTTATAAAGGATCTTAAAATGTAACAAATTTATCGTTGGTGAATCCCCCCCTCCACTACTCTCCCCCATCTTCCCTCCCCTGATTCCTGGAACAGTTTCAACAGGTTTCATTCTTGCATTTACATACATGTATATACACTGTTTGCACCATATTTATCTTCCTACGCCTTTCCCTGCCACCTCCCCCCTCCCACCAGCATCAACCGCCCCCAACCTGTCCAACCCTCCTGTTCTTTGATTTTGTAGAAGGAAAAACGTATAAGATAAAATGAGAAACATGGTGTTTTGCTAGTTTAAGATAAAGATAGCTACACAGGGAGTTTCATTTTGTTGTTCCCATGCATATGTATATTACAGCCCCAATTGACTCACCTCTTCCAGTCCTCTTCACTCCCCCTTGGTCAGCTTCCCATGGTGGCCATGGCCAGTTTAAAATTTCTATATTCATTCCTGTACCATGAGTACATCAACCACATTCAAGTTTTTGGTTTCCTTCCCTTGCCCTATCTCTCCCTTGCACAGCCTCCCCTTAGTGTGACTAATGTCCCATAATATTGGTGCATTTGTTTTAGGTCTACAGTCCACATATGAGAGAGAACATGCTGCTTTTGATTCTGAGCTTGGCTAACTTCACTTAAGATGATATTCTCCAATTCCATCCATTTACCTGCAAATGACAAAATTTCATTCTTCTTTGTGGTTGAGCAAAATTCCATTGTGTGTAAATACCACATTTTCTTAATCCATTCATCAGTAGTGGGGCATCTTGGCTGTTTCCATAGCTTAGCTATTGTGAATAATGCTGAATAAACATGGCTGTGCAGGTGCCTCTATTCTAACCTGACTCACATTCCTTCAGATATATATCTAGGAGTGGTATTGTTGGATCATATGATAGCAAGTCTATGTTTAGTTTTTTTAAGAAGCCTCCATATTGTTTTCCATAGTAGTTGTACTAGCTTACATTCCCACCTGCAGTGTATGAGGATTCCTTTTTCCTCACAGCCTCACCAACATTTGTTGGTGGTGGTGTTCTTGATGATAGCTATTCTAATAGGAGTGAGGTGGAATCTTAGTGTGATTTTCTTTATGGCCAGGGATGGTGAACATTTTTTCATATGCTTTTTAGTCATTTGGATTTCTTCCTTTGTTGCCCTTAACGCAGAGAAACTAAAGCAGATACCTTAAAAGCAACTGAGGCCAATAGGAAAAGGGGAACAGGTACTAGAGAAAAGGTTAGATCAAAAAGATTTAACCTAGAAGGTAACACCCACGCACAGGAAATCAATGTGAGTCAATGCCCTGTATAGCTATCCTTATCTCAACCAGCAAAAACCCTTGTCCCTTCCTGTTATTGCTTATACTCTCTCTACAACAAAATTAGAAATAAGGGCAAAATAGTTTCTTCTGGGTATTGGGGGGGGAGAGGGAGGGGGCGGAGTGGGTAGTAAGGGAGGGGGTGGGGGCAGGGGGGAGAAATGAACCAAGCCTTGTATGCACATATGAATAATAAAAGAAAAAGAAAAAAAAAAGAAAAAGTTCTGTTCAGTTCAGTTGCCGTTTCTTTATTGGATCATTGATTTTGGGGGAGTTTAATTTTTTGAGCTCCCTGTATATTCTGGTTATCAGTCCCTTGTCTGATGAATAGCTAGCAAATATTCTGCAGATGGCCTTTTCAATTTAGGGACCATTTCTTTGGCTGTGCAGAAGCTATTTAATTTCATGTAGTCCCATTTGTCCATCCTTTCTCTTAGTTGCTGAGCCACTTGAGTTCTATTGAGCAAGTCCTTGCCTATACCTATTGCTTCCAAAGTATTCCCTGCTCTTTCCAGTACTAGCTTCAATGTTTCAGGTCTGATATTAAAGTTCTTAATCCACTTTGAATCGATATTTGTACAGGGTAACAGGCATGGATCTAGTTTCAGTTTTCTGTAGGCAGATAACCAGCTTTCCTAGCAACATTTGTTGAAGAGGCTGTCTTTTCTCTATTGTATGTTTTTGGCACCTTTGTCAAAAATTAGGTGGGCATAGCTGTGTAGATTCATATCTAGGTCCTCTATTCTGTTCCACTGGTCTTCATATCAGTTTTTGTGCTAATTCCATGCTGTTTTTATTGCTATTGCTTTGTAATATAGTTTGAAGTCAGGTATTGTGATACCTCCAGCATTGCACTTTTTGCTGAGTATTGCCTTGGCTATTCGTGGTCTCTTGTGTTGCCAAATGAACTTTAGGGTAGATTTTTCAATCTCTGTGATGAATGTCACTGGGATTTTGATGGGAATTGCATTAAACATGTAGATTGCTTTTGGTAGTATAGCCATTTTTTACTATGTTAATTCTACCAATCCATGAGTATGGGAGATCTTTTCATCTTCTGTAGTCTTCCTCGATTTTGTTCTTCAGTGGTTTCCTTGTAGAGGTCATTCACATCCTTTGTTAAATTTATTCCTAAGTATTTGATTTTTTTTTGAGGCTATTGTAAATAGAATTGTTTTCCTATATTCTTTCTCAATCTGTTCATTGTTGTTGTATAGAAAGGCTACTGATTTTTGTATGTTGACTTTGTATCCTGCTACTTTGCTGAAGCTATTTATGGCATTTAGGAATTTTTGGTGGAGTTTTTCAGATCTTTTAGGATCATTATTGACCTCCTTTTGTAGCTGATTATTAATCATGTATCTGCATATTGGCTTACTTAAAACTAATTTTATTGTATAATAAGATTGAGCATGTGATTTCTAGGTATTAAGGAGAGAGAAAGGAGGGACACCCAAACATTGCTGGGGAAGGAGCTGGGGTAGGTTTGAATGCAGATTAAAAAGCATATCAACCTTATGTTTACTGGGAGAAGGTATATTAAATTAATTTTTCTCAACTATTCATATCATTCTATGCAAATTATTACTATACTCTCACAGTGAAAGAAACTGGAACTCAGAGCTTGGCTTTTTCTGAGGTCACATAATTCAGTGACAGAGGTGAGCTTCAGACCTTCCCTCATACTTGATTACATGACAATCTGTAACTTACTCTTGGTCAGAGACACTGAAATGCAAGCAGAATAGACCATTACCATGGCTTCAGAAGACAGCAGTGTGTTTTCAAAGCTAACTTAAATGAGAAATACTTATTGAAACAAAAAAGGGAAAAGATAACATTCCTCAGAGAATGGGAATGTTTCTTGTAACCCTTCGATAGCTGTGGTCTTCATAGGACACCACTTGTGTCCTCCAAGCATTTTGCGTACCCATGTGTTTTCTGACACATGTCAAGTACTTTATTCTATTGTTTCTTTCAGACAGAGTGTAAAACACAGAATCTGAACTGCTGGTGAATTAGTGAAGAGCGACAGCTTTGGATCCTATGGAATCTTGAGATATTTTCCAGATCTTGAGGTATCACTTTATATTCTAAAACCATCACAAAACAATTGCATTTTTAAAATTCACAATTCACATGCATGGTTGATAAATTAGAACCAAGCTTGAAATTCTAAATATCATAAGTTAATTTATTGCAAAGTTTTCATAAAACAACCTGCTAGTAGCATTTGAACCTATAGCAAAAGAAAGATATGGATGAAGGAAGGGAGGAAGGGAGAAAGGAAGAAAGGAAGGTAGGTCCAGACAACACTATTGAGAAAAGGCTACTTTTTACTTACTTATCTTCTAATATAGAATCACTGTCTCAGGTTTATGTGTATTTTTTCTTTTCTTTTTTTCTGAGCCCTATTCTGACATTTCTTAAAGGGCAATAAATGTTAAAGATTAAAAAGAACATAAAATTCTTTTTGCAGAGTTAAATAAGGCACAAAATCTGCAGCCTTTCAAATGAAAATTAATCCTGATCTTAAATTTAGGGGCTATTAATCCAGATGATGAATTTGGCAAGAAACCAATAGCATAAAGGAAAATCATTAGAAAAGGATTAATTTTACTTATTATTTCAGGAATCACAGGTTTGTATGTATGAGGCAAATGTTACTAAATAAAAGATGTTCTCTAGTACAAGAAGTGCTTTGGCATTTGATGTTTGTCCATATTTAGCTATTGTAAGGCTAATACTTTGCATCACAGAACTAGAATCCAAAGAGTGTAGTTATTAATATATATGAGTGGGCTAGGATTTTAGCTCATGCTAGAATGTGTGCAGGACTAAACTTAAAATTTGGAGCAATGCAAAAATCTGGGGTGTCAGTGAGTAGAATTTTAAAATGCCTTAGAAATATGATATTCATCTCCTACTCATGTCTGGCATTTTAATGTAGATAATTATTAGCAACCCAGTTTTCTTTAAGGAGAAGTTTCATTGTTATTTAATTACAAAACTCAATTATAGTGTATTCTCTCATACAGATTTTGAAATGCATTTACTACTTCATTTATTCCTCAGGAACAAGGACATGTCTGCTCAGTTTGTTTTTGTTGATGGCAGAGGTTAAGTGAATTGTCCCAGCATTTCAGTGGAGACACATAATTTTCTCTTGTTTATTTATATTTTTTTTTGTATTTTGATCTTGATTTTGGAAGTCTTGTGGTCCTAAGAATAATGTACATAGGACTTCTATTCAGGAGCAATTTGAAAATGTTTTGGTATTTCTATTTTATGTGATTTGTCTGGTTTATTTTCATTTTTCTGTTGCCGGCAAGAGATTTCTTTTTACATTTTCATTTTAATTTTTGAGCAATATCCTCCATGCATTCTAAAGTCCATCAATAACACATGTTTTAGTTTTTCTGTTTTTGACAATATATAGAGTGAAGTAGTTCTGTGAGTCTTGGGTTCTTTGACATGGTGCTAGTCTACTATGAACATGGTTTCTTGGGTGATGAAAACAAAGTCACCTACCTGTGTCTTGGAGGGAGTGAAAGATTCCATGTTGGGCCTCAAATGAATTTTCTTCTTCTGAGTCATGTTATTATTTATTTCAATCCATTTCTTCCTGTTTCTAGGTTATGTCTAATAACTTTCAACCACTCTTATTCCTATCTTCATGCCCTTGAGAATCCACACAGTGAGGATGTTTTCCTCTTTTGATGTTAAATTTACTCAATCACTTCAACAGTTACTGTCATTAGAAAATGGTGTCTACACTTGGATTTTCAAATTAGTAGACAGGGGATGACATCACCTCATTGACAAGAATAGATCATGGCTCAGAAAATGTGGACATAGAGAAAGAGAGAAAGGTTTAATTGAACATCACAAATTCTTGAGTGAAGTCATAAGAGTTCTTTGGTACATTTTATCAGTGATCTTGTTTTGAGGTGGAGGTGGCCTCATAATAATTGCCGGTTGGGAAGCAGTTGGGCACAGTGATCCAGAGACTAGGTTTGATTAATACACTTACCATATCCACCTTACACTGTACTGTTGCATGAGAGCTAATGCACAATTGCAATTGGCACAATCTCCCCTGTACAATGAATATATGCTAGTAAAAATGAAAAGAAGAGAAAGCAACTTATTTTCTATCATGTCTCTAAGTGAGATGAAGACAATTTTCTGGATTTGCAAATTATTCAGTTGAAATTACATTTTCACTGCAGTATCTACTAAGGAAAATATTAAAAATTTTACATGTAATTTTCCAATATTTCTACATATTCTTTACACTATATTCATGTAGTTAATTTTAATAAAGAAATATTGCAATTAAATAATGGCTTGTCATATTTTATCTGTAAAAAATTTAAAGGCACATAAATAAAATCATAATGACAGGTTCAAACATGTTTGTTTACATTGTATTATTTAAATTAATTAAAATTGAGGACCTTATTTCACTTATTTGAACATTTTAAAAACCATTTTTTAGCAAAGAATGTTCAATAATTGCCAGTTAATAAAAGTAAATTCCAGAATTAATATTTTTAAGTTCATCATCTCAGCCTTATTAAATAGTTTGGAGGAAAAATTAATAACTTTCCATAGTTCTCTGTGAACTGTTTCATTTTTGATGTGCTTAAATAATAAATATCTGATTGATTTGTCTTATCTATATATTTTCTATGCTATCAATTGCCACTTTATCTCTCTTCTTTGTTATTCAAATAGTAGGCTGTAAGTTTGTAGAAAAGTATTTACTATTTTAGTGATATTGATGTTCAAAGTATCCAACAAAAAAAAAGAAACTAGGATTTTGTGTTTTTCAGAGAGTTTGCTTAATGCAAGTAATATATTGACATTCAAAACAGGTTCTTCAAGTTCCTGTAATAGTACCTGTGCTTTGTACCTTGATAGACAAACCTGCCAAGCAACCTTGTCACTCATTGTGGCTGAGACTAGAGTCCCAAATAACCCTCTATACAGCTGGCGGGCAACCCCTACCCATCAGAAGGAGTGGTCAAGTTGAGGTGAAGACCCTGTGCCTTTCTGGATGATAGAGGAGAATGAATCTTAGATTTTTTCAAGTTTTTCTTTCCCTACCTAATGATAAGGATGAATTAGCTATGTGGCCACAGGAACTAGGTAACTGTGTTTTCAATTTTTGGTAAGCCTGATTGCTATAGTTTGGATATTAAGTGTTCCCCAAAAGTCTTGCAGTAAAGACTTAGTCCCCAGCATGGCACTATTGGAAGTGATGGAACCTTCAGGATGTGGGGCCTAAGGAGAGGTCTCCAGTTCATTAGGGTATGCCCTCGAAGGAGAAAATGGGGCCTCAGCCACTTCTTCCTCCTCTTTCTTTCCACTTCCTGGTCATGAAGTTTTGCTTTGCCATGGATTCCTGCCACAATGCACTACATTACCCCAGGCCCAAGACAGTAGGGCCAGCTGGCATCTAAAACTGCAAGTCAAAACAAACTTTCAGTCTTCATAAGTTGATTATTTCAGAAATTTGTTATAGTCGAGGAGAGCTTACTAGTATCCTTGCTTAACAGAACCAGAGAATTTACCCATATTTCAGTCCCTACCAGAAATTTGTGAACTTGATTTCCACTACTAAAAGTAATCTTCCAACACATGCATTCATCCTTGAAGTTCAGATGAAGGGGTAAGTTTCACATTACCCCTCTACAACTGAAAGCCACTTTGTAGGACCTAATGAACAGGCTATTTGCTATAAATAGAAAAGCACACTCAATGAAGCCTCTCTTCTTTTGTACACAGTAGGCAATCAGGAACATAGAAAAGAATCCTCTATTCCTGATAACATCAACTCCCTTTCCTCCCAACTCTCAATGAGAGTTGTACAGACCTGTCTTTCCTGGGTGGTTGAGTGCTTTTGTCATCATGCCTCTCTTTCCCAAATTAAGTGTCAGGTAGAATTTCAGCAACGTTCAGAAGTTGCTGGGTTTTTAGAGGTTGTGATTTTTTTAAAGTATAAATTTTGTTCTGTTCCTTTTCCTTGCTGTAGTATTTTGTTTCCATTCTGGTATATTCTTAAATGTCTTGGAATGATGAAGAGAATGCCATGTTGTCTGTGCTTGAGATGTGGCTTTTTTTCTCCTGTTTAAAGAACATGTGGCCATCGTGTTGGAAAAATTGTCCGTGCAGATACAACTTACTTAATGAACACTACTTAGGAATCAATTCACTTTTAGGATAGAGTATCTTATTTTTTAAAATAAGCTCTCCCATTGAGAATCTTTTGATCACTGTTAAATTAGGAAACTCAACATAGATCTCTTAAAAGAAATGTGCTGTAATTCACCCAAAGCTTGAATTTTGCATGTTTACTCAAATAACTTTTGAACAGACCATAGTTTTATATAAAGAACTTGTGAAGGATATTACAAGGATTTCTAAATGATACTGTTTATAGGAATGATATGTCATGCAGAGCTATTTCCTCCTACATTAAATTGAACCAAAGGACAATTACAATTTTCCAAATGTCATTACTAAGTCTAGTTTTTGAATCTAATTTGAGTGTCTTGGGGTGAATTGCTGGTTGGTAGTTTTTCTGACAGGACATTTGATTATATGGCTCACATTTTTTAAGGTCCAATCTCCCTTATCATCTCCATGAATATTTTCCCCAGTATGTTTTGCATGTGAAAAATGTACGAGAATTCTATTTTTACTTTTTGTTGTGTTGTTCAGATCCTTTTGATTTAAGAAATGGTTATTTCAGAATGAGATTTGAGATATTGTCCCTTTATTAAAAATAGAATAATTGAAAGTAAGTTTTGTCAAAGTTACCTGTGTCCTTTATTGGTCTTCACTATTGGGAAGGACAAATGCATCAGAAGAAAGAATAAAGTGAACTGGAAGTTACTGACGGTTGGCAGAAAGCCAAGCCTGCTTATTTATTTTCTTCATTCTTACAGAGGGTGTAGCTCAATGCTATGAATGCAGCAAGTGGTCAATACATATCTTTAAAGGATTAAATGATAGTGATCTGACACTTGCTTTTAACAAGCTGTTACTTTCTTATCCTTCCCCACTACAT